GGAAAAATTCAGAGATCATTTGGTATTCTTAGCAGAGCTTATAAGCACATTACATCAGCTACCAAGCCTCTGGAGAGCACTTCTTCTCATGTAAAGAGAAAGAATTGTGTGGATTAAAGTTATGCTGGTTATGTTTGGTAGGTTTTAAGACAGAGTAGGCATGGGAACCACTGTTACTAAAGCAGCTAATATGCAAGTTAGTAATCAATGCAGAATTGGTAGGCTGTTGTCCCAGGCTGAGACAACAGCTTTTGCCCAAAATAATTAGTCATGTCAATTATATTCTTCTTTCTACAAATACTACAAAAAATTGATCATTAAGTTCAGAAAATAACAGAAAAAACCCTTAGGTCAAGGTATTATGTGACACTAAACGTGAGGTTTCAGAAAATAATATTATTTCCACAGTAAGCTGTTTGTTGCTGTTCATATTCACAGTACCTGCATTATCAGTCCAGTGATTTACCACAATACTTGTGTTTTTTAGAAGGAAGAAAATGTCTGTAGGCTGGCTCATCAGCTAAGAATGTCTTTTACATATAAAAATTATTTCTAAGTTTGTTACAGTACTATCTTTGAATCTGTACCAAAGTCTTGACTAACACATAGGTTAACGCAATGGTAAGACAGGACAGAGTCGAAGACTATTCAGCCTCCAGAGATCATTCAGTCTAAATTTCATACAGAGGATCATATAGGAATTCAAAAGAGACCAGGGAGACTATTAGAAATCAGTGAGAAGCAATTGGCCTCTATAAAAGATGTCCTAATGGTACACATGCAAAAAATAAAAATAGAAGATTTAAAAATAATCACTAAATCCTGAGATGTTGAGATTTTTTCTACTATTGAGATGGATGGGCCTCTGAGCAACCTGACTGAGTTAAAGCTGTCCCTGCATATTGCATGACATTTTAAAGGTCCCTTCCAACTCAAACTATTCTATGATTCCATGAAAAGGAACAAAAAAGGAATGGAGGTGTCCATCTGAAAAAGGTGCCAACTGATGCTGCGAGGAGTGGCCTCGAGACCAGCTGAGCAGGAGTCAGCCTGTATGTGCTGCCAACAATGGTGACAGCAGTGCAGCTGTCAGGGGTCCTACACAAAAGGGTGAGCCCTTACAGGTCCCATGGGAGAACCAGCGACAGGACAGTCAGAAGGAGCATTCAGGCAGCCTGAACAGATCCACCTGCGAAAGACTAGCTTTGCCTAGCTTAGGAAAAACATTGTTTCTGCAGACATGCTGAGGAAAGAAAAAACCATAATAAAAATTTTACATTAAAACAAAGCAAAACCAGCAGCAACAACAATGACAACAACAACAAAAACCACCACCACCACCAAAAACCCAAACAAACAAACCAAAAAAACTCCAAAACCCCACAATGAAACTTAAGAGCAATCTGAATGGAAAGACCAATCTGAATGCAAAGACAGAGAAAAATTGGATAGAAAAGTATATCCAAACCAGAGCCCAGAGAATTAACCTAAGATCAGTCTGTTTCTGACTGATCAAACCAAAAAGGTAAGATGCAAGCAGGAAAAGTGTTAAAATAACATCTTTACGCCTGAGCCCACCACCTGTCTCACGAAGGTACAGTCTCATCCCATTGGTGCCAGAACACAAGAGGCCAGTGTGAATCCACTTAAATGCAGGAGTTAGCAAGTACAGCCAAGTTATAGATACATCAAGGACACCTTTCTCTCATACTTTGTGACATGTCACTATAATGTTGAATAATTTAAGCTAGTCAACTGCCCTCTTCTTAAGAAAACCACTTACTTGAGATGAAAAAGTATTGGTTTATTAATGAATTCAAAAGACAACTTGAGGCTAGTTCATGGCACCAGCACATTTGTTATGTGACTTTATAGTCTCTGAGACATAGCTGGTGATCAATAAACAGTGATTTCAAGCTCATGCAGGGGTCAATATGGAAGGATTTTGGGAAATTGTCCTTGTGAAAGTGAATTTTGAAAAAATAAAAGATGCAACAGGGAGGGTCAATAAATATTGTCACATGTTTTTAATTAGCTCAAGTTCCCTAGTAAACTGTCATGGCATGATATATGAGAAATTAGTTTTTACAACTAAATCAATGAATGCTTTTTCAAAGAGAAATTAAGATGCTCTTAGTGTGCCTTTTGACAGTCTAGAAAATTGCCTGAAAAATAAATACTGTATAAGTGTACTGATTTTACCTTATAACTCTTAACATTAGTCCTGTGACACTATTATTCTAACAATATCAGAATCCTCTGGATTACGGAATTCTAATCATGAGAAAAAGAATTATGCTTGTCTGGAAGACCTCAGTTAGGATGTAATTATAAGGTGAAATCACAAGTGCAAAGTAATTGAAATGCATGGTTGTGAGGGCTCAGTTATGAAAACATAAAAAAGCTTTCACTAAGCATTCACTGGTACAATGAATATTTTGTATCAGTGGAATTAAGGTTATGCTGTCTGCAAGCAGTATATCTACTCTGTTTATAAGCCATATGTAAATTAGTGTACTGATTACTTGCAGCTTATGATACATTTTTGGTAACAATGGGCAAGAAATACATTTTTGGTGAAATTATTGCTAAAGCAGTCACGTGTTGCAATGTCCTCAATACACACTGGGAAAGAAATTGCTTATCGCTGTTCTTTCCTGCTTTTGTGTTTTAATCGTTTAGTACACAATTATTTGTTAATACCAAAACAGAGAGGCTAGTTTTATATTATTGCAATAGGAAGACATATTATGATTTTTATATTTCAGGCATGAGAATACATTGCTTGCACAGCTGAGTTTTCCAGAGCTGTTGCCTTAATTTTGTCAACAAGCATCATTTACACACACACACACACACACACACACACACACACACACACACACACACACACAAATATACAAATACTTGTAACTATGATGTATTTAACAGATTCTGTACTGAATTTAGTTAAACACTTACAGACTTATTCCAGTACATCTCAAGACAGCATCATAAGAACTCTAGTGACGGAAATCTTCAACCTTCTTGACATGGGTCAGACTCCAACAGGTGGATGTGAATACTCATGGCCCCTGTTACTCTGGGGACAATACTCCCCACTGCCAATTTCAAATACCTCCATAATATTTAATGCAGTTGTTTAGAAAGAATACTATTTGTAGAAAATACAGTGTAATATTAATTAACTGGAGATTTGGGGGTTACCCTCATATTTTATCACCCTGGAGAACAAAGACAATTTTGACTCTTTCATTTGTTGAGCAGGGTGTATGTGGTAAAACAAGCAGGTTTATCAGTAATTAAAAATGGGAGTGAGAAAAAGAATTTTTGTTCTACCAGTATAAAAATTATAAAAATTACAAAAATTATAAAAATTGAGGTGTAGATTTTAAAGATATTAAAGTAGATTTTAAAGTCAGCTGCCAAGAACTAGATGAAAAAATCATGTTAAAAAAGCAAATTGGGCATTCACTACTTTTCTAAGATGCATTGTATGTTAGTATCAGCACTGACTCATTGACATTTATCTAGCGATACAGGTTTGCATTGTCTTTGTTTCTCATCCTTCTTTAAGAAGTAGACTTGAAAGCTCACAGGTCCAACCATGACACATACAATGTTGGCATTTAGTGTAAACAAGCAATAAAAAACAGATTATATGTATTCAGCATATAAGCTCTTTAACCATTAAAACTGTAATAATTTATTTCCCTCCGTTTTAAGTTTAATCACTGCACTACAGGCAAAGTAGTTCTAATAACAAATGATCAAATAGCAAAGAATAGCGCAAAGGACACAGTTATCTGAGAACTCCTCATCTGTTTCCACTTATGCTCCTGTCACCTGGAGGGAGACTTAGAGATGTAACTGTGGGAGACTGCAGTCCACAGTATTGAAACCCACAGACCCTCAGTGCTGGTATCAATATGTTAGGAAACTGAGCAAGGCTAAAATGAAATCTGTTGCAACATAAACATCTGCTGCAAAGATGGAGGGTGCAAGCAGACATCTGCTACAAAACAAAGGCTTTTAAATGTCTTGTAAATCCTCCTTTTTTCCAGTCTTCAGGCCCAAGTAACTTATTCACACATATACATTTCATTTCCTGCTTTGTCCCAATTGCCTAGGCTCCTATCTCCCCTTTTCCTTGGGGAACCATTTCTACAACTTTTCTCCAGCCCTGCCCCATGAGAGCCTTGTTTTACCTTCTGTGCCCAGGCATGTCCAGGGAAGACAGCATGGACCTGATTTGCAGCACTGCTGCTCTTACCAAGCCACACAAAACTGGCCCAGACTGCCTGTTTTCCACACCACAGGAGGGAGCAGGCAAGGGGGTGGGACACAGCCTATCGCCATCCGCAGAATGGACACAAAAAGCACACCTCAGGCTCTTGTTCATTCTTCTGTCACTCTGACCCTAAGGAAACAGCATTCTCTTTGGATGGCTGGAGAGCAGTCATTGGCATAAAAGGACTAAAAACAAAAAGAGTGAAAGGCTGGAATAGATAGCACTTTCACTGGAATTTTTTCATTTTCTAGATTTAATTTCACCTCACCATTTCAAAGGTTCATGTGTGAAAACGTTGCCATACAGCTGTATCATCTGCTCTTTATTACACCTTTATAATTTCAACAAGACTCCAATTCTCCATCTGTGGGCTGGTTTTGTGGTTTTACTTTTTTTTAGATTAGCTCATTTGGACATCTACTCTTGTATACGAGAACAAAATTTGTCCCTCTCCTTATTAAGTTTTACAGTGTGGTCTTTCTCTTTAGGGATTTATTTACTGAATGACTAAGAAAACAATAATCTAAAAATAAAACTACAACATTAATTAAATTCTTAATACATATAATTAATTTTAATTTAAATAATTGTATTTATATTCAAGACAAACCTCTTTTTATAAAAGCTTCTCGGTTGACAAATACATATGTAGTCTTACTATAAGTGAATATTTTAATAGCAAAAAGATAGAATGAAGAACTTTACTTACCAAGCCATCCTGATCCAGAATTGGGTATACACATATCTGTTTCAGCACTGGGCAACACAAATCCAACCACAAACACTTCAACCCCGTCAGCCATTAGGGCCATTCCTAGCACAAAGAAGAGGGCCCACTGGAAACGACCATGGCCACATTCTTGTATTATCAATTCATATTGCTGTGCCAGCTCTTCTTCATCAGCTTTCCTCTCTGTTTCCAGTTCATGACGATCCTTGTATTCATCACGCATGGACTGACCTAAGGCCACCATGTCATCCTTACCCTGCCCCATGTTGGGGATTCCCTGATACTCCCCTTCATAAATTTCATCATCTTCATCATGTCCTTCGGTTGCTTCACTTGATCCTTCGTCATCATTAGCTTCTGCACCATAACTTCCTCCTTGGCCATAGTAATCATCATCATCTTCCTCATCCTGGAATCGACTGTAGGACCTCTGTGTGTAGCCATCCTGGGCTTTGTCAACTGCTTTATTAACTTTTTTCACTGCTTGCCTCTTCACCTCTTTAGCAATATCTTTGGCCCCTTTCACTAGCGAAGTCCTGTCTTTGTAGGTGTCCTCCATCCTGTGTCAAAGAAGGACTGCTGTTAGGCTGCAAAAGCACCTGCCAAATATTGTTTGGAATGTCTACTGGGTGTTGGACATCAGTGGAAAAAGCCCAGGTACAAGTGAAGCTGTAATATTCAACCTGTAAAATACAAGAGAAAAAAGTTTATACTTTGCTATTTTTAGATGCCTCTTCACACTGATACAGAGTCATCCCAATCTTTATTTAAGCACTGAACGTCAGAATAGAGGGCTTCGAATATAAAAGCCTGCATTTTCTTCAGAGATACAAATACCACAGGTTACAAGGAAAATATGCAAAAGATAAATTTAATATTACTATCAGAGAATCTTCAGAATTCAATTTTTTACTGTCTAGTCTTGGATAGCAGGTTTTATTCTGAAAGAAACCAAGCAATTTCATGCATCATACATCAGATTGACTCTGTCTGCAATATCCTTTCTCATTTGAACTCCCTGTTTTGTAGGAAAGGGCTACAAACACTAACCTTTCTCTCGGTGAGCACCATGAAATATCTCTCTAGCCTTCTATTTAACACAAATCCTGTAGAAAGTTAGTATTCCTCCAATCTGTACCAGTGTCTCAAAGCTGACTGAATTTGGCCAGTGCATTTACAGGGCATTCACACCGAGTCTTAGCAATATGAAATCCCACCCTAAAAAATTCAGTGTGGGGAGCTATGTGGGCAGAAGTGGCAGCACTTTCACACTTTGGAGATTCCCAATACCTAAGTCATGGACAGACACATTCCTTTCTTCGCTATCTATACCCACAGTAGGGACAGAGTGGAGCAACTGTGTATTATCAGCTAATGCATCTCCCAGTGTTAGTCCAGCATGAGCTCCCAATAACCAAGCTGCATGAAAGCACCAAGACATTTTTCCCAGTTCTCCTCCCTGCTCCCCTGCTGTGTCTTTCAATCTTGTGCAGCCCCAATTGCAGACACAATGAGTCAAGAGCAGTTTGCTTATTAGACTTAAGACTAACCATTCCCTTCTCCTCTGTGCGGTTTTCAGGCATATCTACAAGACATTTGCTCAACACACATCTGCACTATCACTAGGAGCGGGAGAAAGAAATGACAGCAGCATGCAAGCATACAGAAGGAAGAAATGCAGAATCATTTTTTGGCAACAGTCTGTAGTTAGCACAGCTAAAATCAATTACAAAATTGCACCATTACTCACGTGTCCAAAGTGTGTGTGTGTGCACGTGTGCACATAAGTGAATCTGGACACTGCAACAGATTGTAGAAGCCTCCCCCCTGGGAGAAAGCAAGCAAGGTTTTTAGCAGTGCTTCTAAGAAAATATGGCCTGCTTCCAGCTTGGGGAAAAGGTTCTTTTTAACCATGATCATTTTAATGATCTATTTTCCAGCATTACCTCAGAAAAACTGCAGTAATGCAACTAAGGAGGCAGTGAGATATGATGCAGGAGTAAAAATAGGTGGAAATTTCTGAAGCTAATCTTATTACCCTTTCTAAAGCAGTGTGAACTGCCCTCAGATCTTTATGGGAGAAGACCAAGGAATAGCTTTAAGAAGTTGTCCTTTATTCATTCTATTGCATAAACTGTCTCCAGAAGTATACTCCAGACATGAGTTTTAGGGCTGATAGTGTTTTGAAGGACAGGAAAAAACTACAGACTGCATTAAATAAACTAAGGATGTGATGTATTTCTGATACAAGAAAATGAAGCCTACAATCACATTGACATGACTTTAGAAGAGAAAAGATATTTCCCTAGCTTTGTAATAATAGAAATTCACCTATAGTAAAAAAAGTCTTTTAGTATCTTCCTCTGGATTAATTTCATATACTTTGACTGTTTCTCAAAGAAATCAGATGTGATGGCACTACTCAACTATTAATGGGAACTGAAGCATTTACTGGAAGAGAAATGCAGTCTTAAAAAGGTCCTGATGTAATATTTATGACTGCAAACTGTAGCCTGACTTTAGGTGCAAGATGATCCTTTTAAGTAGGTCATCCTGGTGAATCTTTTATGCCAAGGCAGTTTCTCTAATTAGAGCTTTTTCTCTAATTAGAGTTTTCAAGGTGCTCAGTAGAAGTTATCTTTCTAGCTAGAAGTATCTACTAGCTGTTACTGAACATGCATCAAAACATCCATGGATCTGCTGAAGCCTTCTACAAATACTTTCAAGAACTCCATGAAATCCTAACAGGTACTTTTCTGAGTGCTAATGAGTACAGTGTATTCCTAGATTTTAGATAATTTTACAGTGTCCATGCAACCCATTTAACCTAAATTCTGAATTCCTCTCATTCTTAGACTGATATTTGTTTCTTTTTGTTTGTCCAGCAAGGTTTTTCAGTTGTCAAATTCCCCATTACTAAAGGGTGCATATGTGTGTGTGTGTGTGTGTGTGTGTGTACACATATATATATATATATACATATATATATATGTATGTATAGATATGTGTGTCTGTGTGTGTGTGTGTGTGTATGTATGTATACATATATCTTGAAGAAAGCAGCAGTTTAGCAATACCAAATGAACAAAGAGTCTAAGAGCCAACACTGGTAAAACCATGCCTTACCCTTCTGTAGTACACCTACCCCATGGGTTCAACAGACTCAAAAAAATTAAAATTTGCAAAAGTAACTGAACTTACTCTGCAGTTTGTGATAAACCAGGTACATCAACAAGGAATTTCACCTGCTCATACTCACTAAAATTATGATAACCCTGTCATCCAAAAACATGCAGACAGACAGAGCAAAATTTCTGTCTGGGCAGAAATCAGAAATGTCTCTCTATCTTGCTGAAGTTTCCAAGCAAAATGCTTAATCTGAACACTGTTTTTTAAAACAGCTTTGCTTTCTCAATGAATTGAAATCCGTGCCTTAAGGTGATAAGTACAAAGAGGAATAATTTACAGCCCATGCATGATAGCTTCCCACCCTTTCAATTATGTTGGACTGATTACTACAAGTAAGTAACTGGAAAGTCTGAAAGAGTAAGGATTAATGACTACCTGAGTAGCATAAAGGAGCAAAAGCAGAGATGATAGTCTAGCTATACACTCTTCTTTGTACCAACCAATTCAGCCAACACGTTCACTCACTTTCACTAAAGCAAACACCATATTCCTATTCAATTCCTTCAACTAAAACAAAAAAAAATCCCAGGAAACTAGTGTTTCTGCCAGAAACAGAAATACTCCTTCAGGAAACACCTTAAAAAAAAAACGGTTTGTAAAAACACTCAAAGATGCACACACAAAATAAAAATCAAAGCATCCTTTTGCTCTAATATTTATTCTTTTCCACTGGTACATTCACAGATTTCACTACACTTAGCATTCTGTATAGATTGTGATACATCTGAAATAAAGATTGGACATAACAAACTAAATCAGTGACATCCCATAAAGATATAAATCTATGACAAGTCAGAAAACTCACTTCCACAAAGACTCAGATCTTTGCTTAATATAGGCTGCAAGAAGACTCACTGGATACTCCAAAAAGTGGTATTAACTATACGTATATAGGATAATAAAGTCTTCAGAACAGATCTGGAAGTCACACTCAAATGTGCATTTCATAGATCATAACTACTTCCAATTTTACCACCTTGTCAAATTATTTTATATCCCAGGTTAAATGGGGCACCTGAAGTATGTTAATTCACAAACAGAAGATGCTATCATCTTGCAAGTGTTCTCAGTAATTAAGAAAATAAAACAACCTATGCTTGAATTCACCAGGATACCTGCAAACTTCCTCCTCATCTCTTCATGTGCAAAGCCTTCTGTTTTTTTTTCCAGGGTAGTATTTACTTCAGTATAACCTAATAAAGAATAGAATCCTTAATAAAGGGTACTTATTTATAGAAGTATTAAGTTATTTAAAATAAACAAGAGCTGGCATCAAAGCTGGTGTGAAGCAGATTCATTTTGGGTAATGCTAGCAGATTAAAAGCTATGTTTCAGTATTTTAAGCAAATTTTCTTTCTCTCATGTCTCTAGTGACATTGATAGTGGAGCCCTGGAAAATGTTAAAAATAATCTTTGAAAATATTGGGCTTTGTGTTTTCTCAGATCACTGCACCTGAGTAAGCAGTATGATAAAAGATATAATTGTTAGATGTGGTGATTGTTTAGTAATTAAATATAATTATTATATAACCATAAGAAGAATAGTGAGAAACTATGTTGGAAATTTAAAGGGGGCTATGTTTAGCTGAAATCTGTGTATACAATAGAACAATATAAGTTTAATAATTAACATGAAAGTTATGTAATGATAGAGTATAAAACACGTTCACCTCAAATGTATGGTCGGAATCAGATTTGGGTGGAAACTACCCCGACTCCCAGAGCTCTTAAATAAAAAGCACCGCATATAATCACTTATGTGATTATGTGTTTCTGAACGCTAACATTTTGGTGACCCCGGATGGGACCCTGCAGGTGCTGCTGAAGTGAGTTTCGCGACTCGACCATGCTCCAGCCGGCACCAAGGAATTCTCAGGGAGCTCGATTGGCCGCAACCACTTCTGCCGCTCGCAACGTCCCCGGGAGAAAGGTAAGGTGCTTTTTACTTTGGTTTGGATGCCTGCCAATAAGACGCAGCGAAAGCTACGCTTGGTTGGGCTAAAGGAATTCCTGCTGGTACAAGCCTAGGCGCCATTCCGTAAGACAATCGTGAAAGCGTTGCGGGTTCGGCAATTTGTGGTATATTTGGAATGGAGAAACTTAAAGGGATTTTGGGCGGCAACACCTCTATCCCGCAAAGTTCTCCTTTGGGGTGCTTATTAGCACATTGGAAACAGAGTAATTCTGGGGAAGAATTACATAAAGCTAAGTTGATTGATTATTGTAATACATGGTGGTCAGAATATGACTTGGAGAATGGTAAAAAATGGCAAAAATAGGGTACTTTGCAATATAACACTATTTTGTAGTTAATGTCCTTTTGTAAACAAGAAGGAAAATGGGATGAGGTTCCATATGTTGATTTCTTTTTCTATTTACAGGAAAGCTAGAATGGCAGGATGAATGTGGATTAATGATGGTTAAAACCTC